CGTTCGTACAAGAGTAAAGTACATGAACGCAATTAGTTGCTGTTATTATTTTGGTCTTAAAATGTTTCTCTAATTTGTTGCTCTCAAGATATATAATATCGAATTTATTGCTCCACGTTTGACTTAGAAAAATCGATCGAATGAGTGGCGGTGCTAGCGTTCGTACAAGAGTAAAGTACATGAACGCAATTAGTTGCTGTTATTATTTTGGTCTTAAAATGTTTCTCTAATTTGTTGCTCTCAAGATATATAATATCGAATTTATTGCTCCACGTTTGACTTAGAAAAATCGATCGAATGAGTGGCGGTGCTAGCGTTCGTACAAGAGTAAAGTACATGAACGCAATTAGTTGCTGTTATTATTTTGGTCTTAATATGTTTCTCTAATTTGTTGCTCTCAAGATATATAATATCGAATTTATTGCTCCACGTTTGACTTAGAAAAATCGATCGAATGAGTGGCGGTGCTAGCGTTCGTACAAGAGTAAAGTACATGAACGCAATTAGTTGCTGTTATTATTTTGGTCTTAATATGTTTCTCTAATTTGTTGCTCTCAAGATATATAATATCGAATTTATTGCTCCACGTTTGACTTAGAAAAATCGATCGAATGAGTGGCGGTGCTAGCGTTCGTACAAGAGTAAAGTACATGAACGCAATTAGTTGCTGTTATTATTTTGGTCTTAAAATGTTTCTCTAATTTGTTGCTCTCAAGATATATAATATCGAATTTATTGCTCCACGTTTGACTTAGAAAAATCGATCGAATGAGTGGCGGTGCTAGCGTTCGTACAAGAGTAAAGTACATGAACGCAATTAGTTGCTGTTATTATTTTGGTCTTAAAATGTTTCTCTAATTTGTTGCTCTCAAGATATATAATATCGAATTTATTGCTCCACGTTTGACTTAGAAAAATCGACCCGAAATAGTGGCGGTGCTAGCGTTCGTACAAGAGTAAAGTACATGAACGCAATTAGTTGCTGTTATGATTTTGGTCTCAAAACGTTTCTCTAATTTGTTGCTTTCAAAATATATAATATCGAATTTATTGCTCCACGTTTGACTTAGAAAAATCGACCCGAAATAGTGGCGGTGCTAGCGTTCGTACAAGAGTAAAGTACATGAACGCAATTAGTTGCTGTTATGATTTTGGTCTCAAAACGTTTCTCTAATTTGTTGCTTTCAAAATATATAATATCGAATTTATTGCTCCACGTTTGACTTAGAAAAATCGACCCGAAATAGTGGCGGTGCTAGCGTTCGTACAAGAGTAAAGTACATGAACGCAATTAGTTGCTGTTATGATTTTGGTCTCAAAACGTTTCTCTAATTTGTTGCTTTCAAAATATATAATATCGAATTTATTGCTCCACGTTTGACTTAGAAAAATCGACCCGAAATAGTGGCGGTGCTAGCGTTCGTACAAGAGTAAAGTACATGAACGCAATTAGTTGCTGTTATTATTTTGGTCTTAAAATGTTTCTCTAATTTGTTGCTCTCAAGATATATAATATCGAATTTATTGCTCCACGTTTGACTTAGAAAAATCGATCGAATGAGTGGCGGTGCTAGCGTTCGTACAAGAGTAAAGTACATGAACGCAATTAGTTGCTGTTATGATTTTGGTCTCAAAACGTTTCTCTAATTTGTTGCTTTCAAAATATATAATATCGAATTTATTGCTCCACGTTTGACTTAGAAAAATCGATCGAATGAGTGGCGGTGCTAGCGTTCGTACAAGAGTAAAGTACATGAACGCAATTAGTTGCTGTTATGATTTTGGTCTCAAAACGTTTCTCTAATTTGTTGCTTTCAAAATATATAATATCGAATTTATTGCTCCACGTTTGACTTAGAAAAATCGATCGAATGAGTGGCGGTGCTAGCGTTCGTACAAGAGTAAAGTACATTAACGCAATTAGTTGCTGTAATGATTTTGATCTCAAAACGTTTCTCTAATTTGTTGCTTTCAAAATATATAATATCGAATTTATTGCTCCACGTTTGACTTAGAAAAATCGATCGAATGAGTGGCGGTGCTAGCGTTCGTACAAGAGTAAAGTACATGAACGCAATTAGTTGCTGTAATGATTTTGATCTCAAAACGTTTCTCTAATTTGTTGCTTTCAAAATATATAATATCGAATTTATTGCTCCACGTTTGACTTAGAAAAATCGACCCGAAATAGTGGCGGTGCTAGCGTTCGTACAAGAGTAAAGTACATGAACGCAATTAGTTGCTGTAATGATTTTGATCTCAAAACGTTTCTCTAATTTGTTGCTTTCAAAATATATAATATCGAATTTATTGCTCCACGTTTGACTTAGAAAAATCGACCCGAAATAGTGGCGGTGCTAGCGTTCGTACAAGAGTAAAGTACATGAACGCAATTAGTTGCTGTTATTATTTTGGTCTTAAAATGTTTCTCTAATTTGTTGCTCTCAAGATATATAATATCAAATTTATTGCTCAACGTTTAACTTAGAAAAATCCATTAGCAATAAATTCTAGTGTATTTGTTTTATGATTTGCGACTCGCTATAAGTGTTTTTCGGAGGTGGGGGTGCTAGCTTAATGGCAAGTCAGCACCCCCATCTTTAATATCATTTTCCTGCTAACGGGTAGGAGCAATAAATTCGAACTTAGAGCAATAAATTAGCAACAAATTAGCACTTAATTATGCACTATGGCAAAACCCGATTTTTCGTGGTGGGGGTGCCAGATTAATATGGGTAATTGCAATGATATATCGTAACAAAATCAACAGAATTTCGCAATTTTATAATATAAACGTATAATGTGTTTTCGACTGGATTGCATTGTTTTATTCATAAAATAAATATCCTTCACGCTATATTTATCTAATTAATAATCTTTTTTCACAATAGTATAACATGCAACTCGTTGATCATTATTTTTTTAAATCTTGGCATGAAGCCGCGCGTTATTTCAATGATCTACTATTTCGCGATCGGAAGGATTTTAAAAGTTGTCGCTCGATCATAAAGTTTACAAGACGCTGTTATACAATTTCCTTGGACTTGAGCGCGAGAACGTGAGAAAAATCGCATATATAAACTCGTTCCAATCCGGCCGATTAGAATGTACGACTCGCGCTATTGGAATCGTTCCAAAGCCAATTTGTTTCTTTCGACGCTAAAGTCGGCCCCGTCTAATTGTTCTCTCGTAACTCGAAACTTATGTCGACGACGGTCATTACGGACGCGATGAAATACGCACGACGATAAGATCAAGGTTCGAGACTGTTGTAGTTATTTCGCAGAATAACATTTAATGTTGTAGACGTAACGATTTACATAAAACTCTTCCCTCGTATTTAGGGGCATGGAATTCATCGCGCGTGGACAAACAGATCGCGAAATATATGTGCTCGTCAATCGGTCGAGGGGGGG